TCAGTCTGTTTCTCTCCTGATGGAAATACATTAGCTTCTGGTAGTTTTGATACCTCTATCCGTCTATGGGATGTCAAAACAGGATAATAAAAAGCCAAATTAAATGGTCATACTCGTATTGTCTACTCAGTCTGTTTCTCTCCTGATGGAAATACATTAGCTTCTGGTAGTGGTGATAACTCTTTCCGTCTATGGGATGCCAAAACAGGATATGAAATTAAATCCTCTGATAAAAACTACAAAGATATTCTTGCATAATTTAAGATTCCACTCTAATAAAATTGTCAATTATAAGAAGGTAATATTAATTTTTTTGATATTTTAAGCCTCCATTTACATCACTACCCTCCTAATATCTTAATCAGCTATATTCTAAACATAAGGAGCACTTGTTCTCAAAGGAGAATTCATTAATCATCAAGGAATTGATTTGAGACCTTTATTGAAATCCAAAGGTAGTTGCATTTTAGAAGACCTCAAGTAAAAGTGATAATTATTATTCATAAACAACATTACAACAATTATTATTTAAATTCATTCTTCATATTTTTTTAATTATATCTTTTTTTGTCTTTATTCTTTATTTTGATTTTCAAGATTCATAGGGTATATTTATTGAGATCTCCTTTAAAAAAAACAGATATTAATTAACATTTATAGAGATTTAATGTTAAATGATACTACATTAAATTAATAATTCAAACAGAGAACAGTAAGCTAAATGAAGAGATTAAAATAAAGATTGATTTTAATTACTTAATTCAAAACTTATTTAATAAAACTGCATGATTATTTCATAAGATATTCTGATAATTTATTTAATTTATTACTATTTATAAACATAAGTCTTAATAGATATAATTAATAATTTTGTAAGATATATAATAACTAGGATAATAATAAAAAAGATATGACAAGGATTAAAAAAATAAAGTTAATCTTAGAATATAATCTAAACTATATAACAAAGTTAATACAATATGATATTGATTAATTTTAATATTACTCTCAATTCAAGATAATGTATCAATCACCTGCTAATTGATAAGATATTAAAAAACTTTGAAAACATATTAAAAAATATTATAATAATGTCATTTTTTAGATTTAAGAAGACAATTATATCTTCTCTAACCGTATTATATATGAATCTTAATTATTGTTTCACTTAAGCTCAACCTAAATTTTAACATACATCAAATAATAAACATTTAGAAATCACTGGGATTATGTAAATTTTTGGTAATTTCTTAATAAATTAATTTAAATTTAACTAGTTGATGAGTTCATCAAAAAGAGGGCTGTTTTTAATATAATGAAGTAATGAGATACATTTTTTTTTTAAATTTTAATTAAATCCGTTTAAATAATCTTAAATTAAATAATTCAAAAGCAAGTCTAATTAAGCAAATTGAAGAAAAATAAAAAAGGAAACAATGATTTGTATGGTTGTAATTCATATTGAAATATGTTAAAATGATTTAATTTTTTTATCAATAAACCCCCTCCAATATTAGATTAA